ACGACTAATCTCAGCACCGATACTCCCTACAATATTAACACACTGGTGAAGATACTACCGTCGATGATATGACACATGTTTCGCCTCTACACGAGGCAATCTCGCTTGAAGTAGACTCTGCGGTATATTTTGTGAGAGCGTGATCCTTCAAAGGTCAAGCCTACCCATTCGTGCCACAACAAAATTACTGCGTAGGGTACTCTAAACACTAAGAAGAAGCTCGCTGTTACCAACCGCTGCGAATCCCCACAAGACGGCATTTTCAAGAATCCGGCATCATTTTTTTCCGACAAACGAAATTATAGTCCACCTGAAGAAAAGTGGCTACTGTAGTCTTTTGTCACCTGCAGCTGGCTCAAAACAAAGAAGAATGCAGATGCGTTGTCACTAATAGAACTAACATGGAACGCCTCACAGTCTGTAATTATTCTGGCTGTCATTGCCCTGCAGACTGGAACATAGCACTACGAGCACCACTACTTGGCGTGAGAAATAGATAAGTGATGTACCTATCCAGGTGGACTCTAGCAGAATAACGTATTGGTAGTTGAACCTCTACTCAATTGAAATACTTTTTAAGAGTTGACAAAACAAACAGTACAGAAATTTCGTTCAATGACGTCATAATTTTTATAACCAAGTAATCATCTTATTCTGTATATTTTTTTTAATTTTAAACTCAGCTTCGAATAATAACCCGCCAAATTTCAAAAAGATACTCATAAAAGTAGCAAATTTAAATAAAATTATGTAATAATTTATTACTCATAGCGCCAACTATCGAATCATCATGCTAGGCGAGCGGGATTGCGACTGCCGACAACCTGACACTGATAACGCGGCTCATGAACATTAGTGGGATAAGAATTTCACATCTGAGCCTTGTCAATCAGCGGGATGTACTCCGTGTAAAATATTAATAATGTCTTCTAAACCGAATTTTGGTCACGGCGGCCAGGACCAAGGGATATTAGCCATCGGCGCAGGACAGGATTATAGTGCCCTTGTGTGTGCGCAATCACAGGTGCACTCTATATTCCCCCACTCTCGTAGTCCGATGGGACGGTACACCGATATGACCGGGGAGAGATCAGGAGCATTAAAGTCCTTGCAAATTATATGCATAAATTATACGAATAGATAAAAATTTGTGGATATGTTAACTCATTCACCTTTCCCCAGCAAATCTTTAGGTTTATTTGGGTTACATTTAAGTTTATGCGGGCATGGTAATAGTTTTAAAAGCGATTCTAATTATCCTTAACGACGTAACTTTTGCATTATTACAAGAAATTAAAGGTAACCTTATAATTATAAAATTGCTAAAAGGTGCATTGCATAATAATTATTTAACCATCCAAAGCAAGGGGTTCATAATCAGAGGCAATAAATGTGGACGTTGAACTTGCAGCTTTTTAGGCAGGTGCCTACTGTACCTGCATCTAAGTGATTCCTAAACGAATTTATTATTTTTAATCACAATTAAACGTAGGTATATCAGGATTTTTGATTCTTTTGCAATCATATTTTAAACGATAATTTTTCCGTTCAAAACGTAATGGGTTCCGGTTTAACTAATTTTGCCACAAAACATGAAAAAGCAATTAAAATGACAAAATTTAATTTACCTTACATAAATAACCTACATTTGTGAACCTTAATTCATTGGTATTAATTGCTAAAATACATTACATAATTACAAAATTTTGTGTCGCATTTGTTAAAAATTCTGTCAGTTTTTATCACATCACCTGTCCCAGCCCCTTGTTTCATCAAGTCCGTTACATCGGACTGCTTCGCAATTAGCATACTTTTACCTCAACAAAAGATTTTTTACCCCAATATTCGACTTAATATTCAATACGTTTGCACCAAATAATAATTACATCAGTTCATCCGCTGAATGCATTAAGGCCCGTTTTCTTCGTATATATTATAATATTAACACGAGGGAGGCCGGGCAGGTGCACTAGTGAAATTATATTTTGGACATTCAATACTCCATGCACTTGTTTGTTATGAAACAAGAACTTAATAGAGGAATAATATGACATATAATTCATATTTAAATATATTATTACTACGTTACTATACTACGATAATACCTCACACCTGTTATCCTGTGCACACAACACAAAGAAACCTTAGATTTTTTATTAAAAATGTACCAGCTTTATATAAAACATTATGACAGTTGTCTCCTGATAATACGGGCCACCAGCGGACTGGAGGTGAGTAGCCATACGCAGGCGTTCAACTCTGTGAAAGTATAAGTGAACTTGATTTTATGTCTACAAAATCTTATTCCAACCGCACTGCTAACTAGACTATAGATAATATTATACTATAGTACCTGGATGACCGAGCTCGGTATTTTTTTTTTTTTTTGAAAATCGTGTGTGTTGGAAATTATATTTAGATACAAATTACATACTGATGAAACATGAATAATATTTTTTCTTCTTATGAACATAATAGAAAAGACTGAACTGGTTATTTGAATAAAAAATCATGCGTGCAATTAGATTAATTAAAATGTTCGTATTTAAAAAAAATACTAAAAAACGGGCTCAGAATAATAGATTTTCTCACAAACGAAGGGAACTTGAAAAAAAATAGGAAAAAATGTCGGACCGAAGACACGACGCGAACCGGGGCACTACGATTTCGCGACGGCCCGATATCCTCTTGAACTATTACGTTCGCTAATACCATGTCATAATTTACCTTCTTATATTGTAGCAGTTTTTCATTGCCTGAAAACCAAATTTTCTAAAAATAAATCCTAGCTAGATCGATTTATTACCCCTGAAACCCCCCTGGACACTAAGTTTTATGAAAATCGTTGGAGCCGTTTCCGTGTTATATATATATATATATATATATATATATATATATATATATATATATATAGAATTGCTCGTTTAAAGGTATAGGATAAGAAGTAGTAATAAGACAATGTAATTCACTATATACTCAATAAAGAACAATTACAGTTCGACCATATCTACCGTAACATGTCCCCGTCACAATTACGCACTAGTGTAACGTGAAGGACCGACGACAACATTACCCTTCTCAACGTAATACAGGGTAGCTTCCCAGCAACACCATTCAAACACTCGTAGAATGACTTCACTTGTAGAATGATTTAAACGGAATCTCTCTCAGTCGACACCCACATTGAACTATATACTGCACAAATGGGGGTTCCCGATATACCCTCAATTCTACTCCGCCACCATCGATATAACGCTCAGCTAGAGTGATGCAACCTATCGCTCACTCTCGATCCATTCGGTATTTTATGGACACACGGACAAACTTAAAAATTACAATAATAACGGTTGTGTTGTTTCGGATTTCTGATCTTTTCGGATCTGAGTCGTCACTGTCACCGAGCGACACTGTTATTATGTGAGTTTCTTAATGGCTGACAATTATTTTTGTGTTGACGGACTTCCTTCTGAAACATTGACAGACAGTGTCAGAAAAAAACCACTATGGCTATTCCCCTTCGGTCCACGAAGACCCGTGTTGCTATGTCCTGACTAATTTCGATCAAAACTTATGCCGCACAGCGAACACTACACTGAGGGTTCAAATGACGATTCATACTAATAATTTACCCCCGATCTTATAGCGTAAGCATTACATCGGGTACGAATAAGTTAGGATGAGTCAGTGCCTCTGTATTTGCTTGCGCACGCAGTTAATAGCTTCCGTTCATTCATATTATCGTAAGAAGCGATTATGGAATATGCCAGAAAAACGCACGAGTTTTAGATCATGAGATTTTCTGGCATAGACATACTTATCTGCGCAAGACACGATTATAGTGCACTGGTGCACTCACTGTACCCTCACTCTCGTAGTCCGATGCGACAGCAATCAGACACGAGCGGAGAGAAATCAAGCACAAGACCTTACGTGCTTTTCGAAGCATCAGAATCAGAACCAGAATCTGAATATTTTATTTTTCAAACATAGGTAGGTTTAAACATTGAAGGTCTTGCGAGGGTTACAATTATTAGTACGCCATGTTTTGTCTTAAAGACATACAAATATAAATGTTTGTTCGTATGAGAATCATGCCATAAAAATACAATAGAATAAAATTAATGAATTTGTAACACTAATTAAGATTCTACATTGATAAAATTAAATAAATGATAATAACAAAATAATATAATTACTCAATATAATTTAAAGTTAATATAATTTGTCAAAATTATCATTCAAGAACTCGTCAATTTTATAATAACATTTGTCTATTAATAATTCATTAAGCACTTTCTTAAATTTAAATAAGTTCATATTTTTATTGTATCAGGAAGGGAGGACAAGGAGATCCATTAAGGTTGAATAATAAAAATACGTTCTTTAATCAGACAACATGTAATGAAAATTAAATAAAGCAAGCTCTGATAAATAATACTTGAAAATAAAATTAAACGTAACATGAAACACTAATTTTTTTAAAGTCTCTGAAGTATCCGTTTTGCCCTATTAAGGTAGGTAAAACGCATATATTTCGAGGGCAAAACGGATATATCCCTTAGCATTCGGAAACTAATCGCTACAAAGTTCACAAAAAATAGGAAACATGTCCCGAATATGATGAACAACTCTCATGCGTCCATTCGCGACATTGAGAACATTCAATCCAGTCTTCTATTCTCGTATACAATAATAATAATATTGTTTATAATAATAATGATAATACAATAATATTGTTTCTTTTTATTTCCTTTACCTCGTTTTATCTTTTCTGCACTTTTTTTCTTTAACTTCGAACAGTCTTTTTCTTGCTGGTAGTTGACTTCTTTAGTCCAGATACAGAAGCTCCAAGGTTTATTTTAAAACTGTTTTTTTTTAATTTATCTTCTTGTATGGTTTTTATAGGAGTGCTGGTTAATATTTCTGATTTTTGTAGTTTTCTACCTCTACTTAGTTTTTTAAACTGTTGCTGGGGCAGTGGATGAATTTCTTTGAGTATTTCAACACTGAATGCAGTAAAACAATGAATGGCTTGTGGTACAGCTAATGTACAAACGGATGTGTGTGGTGCTGTCAACGTAGATTGTCTTCTGGAGTCTTCGAAACAAATGTTGTTGGGTCCGGAAGAATGATCTTGTGAGTGTGTACATGTGCCAAAATGGGAAAATGGGTGGTGTCGTCAAAGCTGGTGGAGTAATTTCATCTCGTGGTATAGTGGACAGAATTGGTGGTGTTTCTGAACCATGTGGTATGGCGTACGTATCTGCTGTCATAGGTGAAACAGTCGCTTCTAATTGAAAAGGTGTTGGAGCCCCATGGTCTTCGCCTGCAGAGTGTGAAGTTGATGCCTCGTAGACTGTAGAAGGTGCGAATAGCGCTTCATCTATCACATTTCTATCGTACGGATAAATGCCAGCTGCTCTAAATCCGCTCATGGCGTTTTGTGGTGTTGCTACTTTTAAGTAAGCAGGTGTAACCAGACGTACAACTTCACACTGTGAAATAACTCGCCCTGGATAATGCTTTTGGAACTTATTCAACTCAATTTCAAAGGCCACCTTAAATGGTGCATAGACAGCAACCTCAAGTGGCTGTAACTTATGAGATGTGTGTGGAGGAATGGACACAAATATTACATTATGATCTCTGGCATATTCTAAAGCAGGGTAATATTTATGAGATTCATGATTATCCAGAATTAATAAAGCCTTACATTCACTCGTAGGGCGCACATAAGTCACAAAAGCTATTAGCCATTGTAAGAAAATTCCTCCGCTTACCCATCCACTATCTGATATGGTGCCTTCACTACCAGGACATGCCCCATCTAGTAGACGTGGCTGAAACCTTTTTCTTTTAAAAATAAAGAATGGGGGAGTTGCGAAACACCCTGTTGCGCTACAGCAACAGATGACTGTCGTCAAAGTACCTCTCTCTAAGCTGCTCACCATGCCGACCTGCTTCTTACCAAGTACTGAGAGTACTTTTGGTGGTTTTGTAGATGAGGTGCTCACACCTGTCTCATCCATGTTATATATCATATTAGGAGTGATATGATGCTCTTCAACAATGGTCTCCAATAAATCATAAAAACGTGTCACAGCTGGTTTGTTAAAAGCTGATAATCTAGCTACCGACGTCGGCTCTGGGCTTCTTAAAACAATATCGGAATGACGTTTCAGGAAATTTTTAAACCACTGTTTACCGGTAATATTATTCTTGAATGGCGTTTGTATGTTTTGTCGCTTAGCATACTCACCAGCTAATTCCATAAATTCATTTCCAGACAGACCGTAAAACAGTGCATCTAAATCCTTTAAATGGTTTTCTAAATTTTTTTCTTGTTCTTCATTAAATACAGGCTTAAACCTGCCGAGACGTTTTTTACTACTATTCGATTTGACATGACGTTGCAACGTAGTATACGGTATTCCATATTTTTGAGATGCACTTTTTATTGAGGATTTTGTTGCCTCTGCAATTGCTTTTTTCATTGTTTCTTCCGACCAAGAGGCTAGTAGTCTTCCGTATGTAGTTGTTAACCATCTGCAAGTAACAATAACACAAATTATATTTAATATTGAATAAAAATAAACTCAACTCATTCGTATTTAAGGCAGGGTAAAACGGATCTCGATCCCTTTTGCCCGTTCCGTCTTGCCCTATACTCTCTTATTATTATAACCTAAACTTTGTTCCGCTCACAGTTACTGCTTCTTATTAAAATTATCATTATATTAACATAAGATGAATACCTTACAGCATCGACAGATTAATTTGCAATAAAAGCTTAACAGAATGTGATAAAATGATGCCACGACTTACCTTATTTTTTTAATTTCGCGTAACAAAAACAATAACACAGCACTACTTCCACATACATACCACGCGGCACAGCGCGATTTACTAAATCGGCGCACAGCAAGCGAGACTTCGCTATGATGCACTATTTCTCTCTCTGTTTAGCATTATTATTCGTATAGAGAAAATATCCGTTTTGGCTGCCCTAACCTTCTTGCCCTCCCTTCCCCTAGTTTATTATAAATTCGTAGGGCAATACCAAAAAAGCTTTTTTCATTAGTGATGTTTCACATTTTATGTAACATAACTTATTAACGTATTGGGTGCGTATTGGATTCTTTCTAATTGTAGATAATTTTTGAAAAAGAAATGGATACCTTTTTACAAAAATTGCTGATTCTAGAATATACACTGATGGCAGTGTTAGGATTTTTAAATATTTAAAATAAGGAAAAAGCAAAGAATTTTAAAGTAAGTATGGCGGCGAAACACCGCCAACTTCCTAATTTCCTCCAGGCTGCTACAGAAATTTAGGACAGAAGAACTTATTACCTGACTTTTGGTCTAAACCCGGGGACTCATGATCAACAATCGTGATAACCATCGAGGCAGTCATTCAATTTCAATTATAATAATAATGTCCTCCAGACCGAATTTCGGCCACGGCGGCCTGCCTCAACGGAGGCTAGCCATTCTGATATATTAAGCGAAGTAGCAGGAGAAATAACAGACTATTTGTCAGTAGACACAGTTATGGACACAGAACAGAGCACTTCATATCCCGCAGAGTTTCTAAATTCTCTAGAGTTGTTAGGTGTGCCCTCACATAAGCTTCAATTAAAATTAGGCGTCCCAGTCATGCTAATGCGAAATTTAGATGCTCCTCGGTTATGTAACGGGACAAGGCTGCGTGTGACACATCTTGGACGGAACATAATTGGTACTACAATTTTTACAGGCGTAGGAAAAGGTGAAAATATTATTATAACATGGATCCCTATAATTCCCACAGATTTTCCTTTTCAATTCAAAAGGTTGCAGTTCCCTATTAAGCTCAGTTTTGCAATGACAATTAATAAAGCGCAAGGGCAAACGTTGCAGGTAGCGGGGGTCAACTAAGAAAAACCGTGCTTCTCTCAGGGTCAGCTGTATGTAGCATGTTCGCGTGTGTCAAATGCCCGGAATCTCCACATTCTTTCCCCGAATGGAAAAACATATAACATTGCCTACAGTAGCGTCTTAAAATAGTGTTCAGTTAGTTTTTTTCCAAAATTCCCACAATCAATTAATCAGAATTCCTACAGATCTTCCCTTTAAATTCAAAATTTCCTATTTAGCTCAGTTTCTTTTCAATTCCAAATGCTGCACCTCTGACGGACCTATTAAGCTCAGTTTCCTTCAACTCAAAAGGAACTGCATCTCTGACGGATCTTTTATTTGGCTCAGTTTCCATTCAATTCAGAAAACTGCATTTCTGATGAATCAATTTAGCTCAGTTTCTTTTCAAAAGTCTGCATCCCTGGCGGATAATTATGCTCAGTTTTCTTTAATTAAAAAAATATCCCATTTCCATTTGAAATAAACAGGATATTTTCATGCTTTCCTATACGCTGCGCTTCAAAACATTTAAATAGGCTGACGAATCAATTTTGCACCGTTACCTTTTAATGGCTGTATCTCTGACAAATCCATAAAACTCAGTTTTCTTTCAATTCAAAAAGCAATGGATAGTTCATTTCCCAGTGACCATGCGGGTGAAGCCGCGAGTAAGCTAGTTATATGTTAGTTTTTTCTTTTATACAATAGTATATGTAGAATAGTAACAATCCGCCCCGGCCTCCCTCGGGTGATTTCTGAATCTCGACAACAGCAATTTTTTTTAATAGAAGAGGGGGCAAACGTGCTTGCGGCTCACCTAATTTTAAGTGACTACCGCCGCCCATGATCAACCGCAACACCAGGGGAATTGCAGGTGCGTTGCCGGCCCTTTAGAAAGGAGTAAGCTCTTTTCTTGAAAGTCCCCAGGTCGTATCGGTCCGGAAAAATCGCCGGTGGTAAACTATTCCACAGGGAGGTTGACCGCCAAGCATCCAGATGATGTGGATGGTATCGGGACGTTTGCCGCGTAGTGCGTTCAGGAAATTTGGCGACTGGGATTAATCCGAACAATTCCTCAGAGCACTCTTCATGGTATATGCGAAAGAAAATGCAAAGAGATGCAACATCTCTTACGTCACTTATCAATTCCAATTGTAAATCTAAATCATCCAGGGATCCACTCGAATAAACACACAAAATTTAATTAAAATCGTTCGAGCCATTTTCAAGTTTTAGCACAGAATAAAAGATAACACAAGAAGTTTTTTAGTTTAAAACTTCTTTGTCTAAAATCAATTGTTGTCGTTAACGACAGCAATTGATTTTTATATACAGAGAACATATAAACACAAACGTAAACAAATTAATAGGTAAATTAATATTTTTATAACATTTAAATTACAATTTTTAAGTGTAAATCAAATGATTTTTTAACGTAATGCCGTACTTTGATCAAACTACTCCATGATAAATATTTAAGTTGTGTTGAAATCTTTACATTTCATTCCCACTTTTTTATAGTTTTAACCGTTTAAAGATATTTTATCTGTTATCTAATAGGAGTATTTCCGAGAACAGAATTCTATGATTCCGGTAAACGATGAGACTGGTACCACCGTTTATTGCTTTGTTAACGATCGAATTTACAGTCTTGAGGGTTTTATACTTAATCCTAAAGTATAACTGTTAATATGTGCTGCGGTTCAAGTTCAACGAACATTATGTTATGTTTACATAAAATAAAAATGATGAGTTTATGTCCTTGATCCTTCTAAATGTAAAATCTCTTTAATAAGTTAGGTTTGGCAACTTTTATCCTATGATAAAAGTTGCCAAACCTAACTTATTAAATAGATTCTACATTTACAAATAGTACTTACAAATAGTTGTACAATTAAAGGAGGCCTCATAACTCCAGGAACGTTAACGTGGAAGAGCCATGCTATTAGTAGTATAGTAGCACGAGTGGGTCGGTTCGACCGGGGAAGGAACACGCTCTCACTGAACACCAGCGTGAAATAGCAGCTTAACGCTACTGTATTTCGTATGGTGAGTGTAGAGAACCGGAGACCCTTTTTACTGGAATTCCATCTTAGTCCCTCGCGAGTGACAATGCATTTTGCATTTTGATTCGTAATCGAGGATAGATGTAGATGTCTATGGGCCACAGCAACCACTTACCATCTGGTGGACTGCGCTCATTTCTCACCCTTCTCATATAAAAAAATGAAATTGATGGGAAGTTTTTGGCCTTGATTTCTCACCAGAGATTAAATGACCAGGTCAATTCAGTAGAATCAAGTAGGGACAATAAAGCTCTGTTTACTCTTCAATTTGGCGACATCAACCCATCTCACAATAGCAATTTTTGTTTTAAGTAATTACTATTACTTTTACTTTTATTTTGTTATTCTATAAGTCCTTTGGGTGAAAAATTTTGAAAAACAAAAGTTTAAAACATTTGAAAGCTATTCATGTGTTATGACACTCGTCAGGCCCGGGGTCAGGGAGATAAGCGTGACTAAGTCCGAGATTGATTCCCGGATCAGACAGAGAGTCGCAGCCAGTGAAGTGTGGACGATACTTTACTCACGACTCGCCAACCCTCTATGACTCTTATTATAGGATTTGTGATGCCAGGCTCGAACACTTTTATATCGGGATTTAAGCTAGTTATTTATTTAAGCAGCGACGGGACGCTTTGTTTGTTTAAGTCATTTGGGTTTAGAAGGTTTATCGTGTTTTATTTTTTTATAATATTTACTTTTAATTGACGTGACGTAACTAAAAAACTGTGTTTAGCATTATAAGAGTATAGTGTAAAATAGTTATTTACTAGAAAAGTAAATTGCGGAGATTTAGGATCTGGCCCTATAGATTTTCTATGATTCGACGTGAAGTAAACTATGGTGTATTTATTTTATTATTTATTTCACAATTTATGTACACACAAGTAAAGGAGAGGACACATCATGATAAAAAGTTTGTACAAAGGCGTAGTTCGTTCTTAGTTTCTCCAGAACTGACGTTGAGCCCGCGAACCTCCAAAGAACGAAGGAAATACAGCAGGTGAATCGTTGACCCTTATTAAATCGTCCGTATACCTAATATTCTAAAACCCGCTGTTATAGCGTCCACTTTCTTTACTGAGAAACTTTACTTACAATTATGCAAATAGTATAGCTGCGAGTGCAAATAACGGGATGCATGACTTATCCAACCACGCACTTTGTCCCCATTACAACTTACAATATCAAGAGGAAAAAGTGCATGGGATATCGTAGTGACTTAAAGTATCGGAACAAACGCAATCATAACAACGGACACGCTATTCTATATAATTTGTCTACGTTTGATATATTTGATTTTTTTTATAGAATAAGGGTGACAAACGAGCACATTGTGGCCCATAGACACCTACATTTATCCCCGATTAAGAATCAAAACGCAGATGAATTATCACCCCTGAGGACTAAGATGTAGTGCCTCGTTTCCAGTAAAAAAGAGTATCTGGACCTCTACACTAACCATACGAAACACAGCAGTATTAAGCTGTTTTACGCTGGTGTTCTGTGAGAGCGTGGTCCTTCCCCGGTCAAGCGGACCCATTCATGCTACAACCATAATATAGCTACAGCGTGGCTCTACCACGTATAAAACGTAAATAAAGTCTCTTGATTTATACTAACAGTGCCATTAACACTAAGAGTATTCTAGGTATGAGTACTTACAGTTAGTAATCGAATGGTGCATACGAACTCACGACCATAAAGTTTCGTACCCTTAACCATTAGACTTTATTATTTTAAATATTTATTTTTTATCTAATAATGAGGAAAGATTGACAAAGAGATGCCCTAGGTGGAGTTTATCGACCAAATTGGTGATATTTTTAAGATACGCTAAATTAGGAGAACCCTTAAACCGACAAACATGTATGCGTAGGTATATGGATGTGAAGGAAGCAAGAGAGGTGTGTCAGGATCGTGCGAAAAGCATGAGTTTATGTACGTTATGTTTATCTTTACATTTACTAGACATTACTATAGTAACTAATTATTAAATTACTATTTTCTATTAAGGTACGTGATGGTAATATGGTCATTGGTCACTTTAAGCTTTGCCGCTCTATAAAACCAAAAATAGGAGAAGGACAGAGATAATTACTATATTAGGAAAAATATTGCATACAAGCTTTGGCAATAGTTATGAACACTTCGAAAAATATACTAAAAAGAACTACACTATACGATACTAAAATCGATTAAAATATTAACTGTAATATCAAATGTTAAAATGGCGTCAATAAAGCAGCACCCTTTTGCCCCTTTATTATTTGATAGAGCCCTCTATGCAAACAATGCTTTGTTATTGGGTTGTAAAAAAGTGACCATATTAAATGGATGACCATATTATCCTCACGTACTATAAGTATATTTTTTTTAGCGTGATGGTCCATCCCCCCATGGAGTAATCATCTCATTTCGCTTCGAAGGGTTCGTAACAGGGGACTATGAGGCATTTCAGAAAGACTACCGGATCTCCAATAGATGGAAGGACGAACATCTCATTGACGAAATGGGTAAGTCCAGTGTCCATCATTGAACAAGTACGGGTTAATGAGGATGAGGTATTTTTGAAATGTTTGCCACACGAATAAATACATTTTAATGTGTAAAAATAATGCGTACATACAAAATATTTTTTTAATTTTACTTTGATGAATTTACCATACTAATATATAAATATGGCCGTCAAAATATTTAAATACTCTGCAGGGACCAACTGTTGCAAGGAAGTACATACGTAAATAACAAGGCGACTTATTAATGTACTCGACTGTACCAACATAACGAAATACAGCCGCTTTGCAGTCGTAATTTAACGAAGTGCAAAGTTCCGTCACATCAGGGGGTATGCGCATTCCCGTGCGGGTAGGTGTAAGAATATTCGCCCTCGGTGTTGTAAGCCTCGCATACTCGGAGGTGTTGCCGCGCGCAATAAATCGCGCAGAGTGATGGCGCGCTTTTTATGCCAAGACATTTTTTCCCGCGCTAGCGGTCCATATATCACAAGTTCTTGCGTAGTGACTTATGCGACTCTGCCTGTACAGTGTACACTGCCGCTAAAAAGCTAAAAATACAATCCACACTTCTTGCGCTCATTTCAACTCAACAGGAAATGCTACATTATTTTTTTTATTTATAACTTCTGCTATCCATCGGAGCGGATCGGTTCTTAGCTATCTTTTCAAAAGCCTTTCATGTCCGAGGCAGATATTTTGTAAAGAAACATGCCAAAGAAAATTAACGTCGCCCCATCGAAGCGCAAACACATAGAGTAACGAAATCTTCATGCAATTTAAAAAGATCAATCCCAAACATTAATTGTTTGCCAACAATGAGCAACCCTCAAAATCCAAAACCGCAAATAAAACCAGCTTATTAACTGGGCTCTATCGTGGCGTACGGGGAGCGTTTTATAGGTACTTTATCCTATGTCCTTTCTTCTGAAATACGATTAAAATTGAATAGGTCCATATGTCGTCGGCAGCGAGCCCGTTGCGCCACAATCACACGGCCGGATGCATTTTCAATTTGCCGCGATATAAGCGCGACTTTTGGACGACTTTTTCTGCGGAATAGCGGAATTGATCCGGTGACTTATGGCGGATAGAGATGGCCAGTGAATGGTCAATTCAATCAATTTCTAATACAACGGACTAAACTTTAGGGTCTGCAGTGAAGTGTAACACAATACGCTGTTTAAGTAGCTTTGCCTACATCATATAAAGGCGATGTAGATGAGATACAACTAACGATTTCTTAAATTTTTATTCACTTAATTTAATCGACGTTTGTATTTTCTTATAAATGAAATTTAATTTACATTGCACTACGATGAAATTGTTTTATGTATTTAATATGTACAAGACAGTCGAGCACACAGTCTACCTGATGGTAAGTGGAAGCTGTGGCCCATAGACATCTACATCTATTCTCGATTAAGGATCAAAATTCAGATGCATTGTCACCCTTGAGTACTAAGATGGAATGCCTCGTTTCCAGTAAAAAAGGTTACCGGTTCTCTACACTCAACATACATACGAAACAGCCTTAAGCTGCTATTTTATGCTGGTATTCTGTGTGACCGTAGCCTACCCCGGTCGAGCCGACCCATTCGTGCTACAACTAATATAGCTCCAGTGTGGCTCTACCACTTAAAAAACTACATATCGACTTGAGGGTTTGATATAAAAATAAAAACTTTGTATTAAATATCAATAAGTATTGATAATTTATTCTCAATTTTATTTAAAATACACAACTTCACAATGTTTCATTTTTAAAAACTAAAACTTTAGGTACGGGATATCGTTATAGGTTGTTCTGCATGATCGCTAATTTACAATTTCATTTTTTTAGGTTTATTTTCTACAAGAGATTTACATTTTATATGTACATTTCGGTATTCCGGGATTTTGTTTGAGGATATAGTAAAATGCTTTAATTAAAATCTCATGCATCGCAGATTATGTCCGTGCGACTTTTACTGCCTCCCCAAATAATATCCCACCAGTTTATGGCCACATGATAATATCTTAAATTTACAAAGGTACAGCGATAAAAATATTACTATGTTTTTTTTACAAAACAACATTCAGTTGTATCAACGCAACGTTAAAACCAATGTAGTGACCTGCTTTAATAATTTAAACATGACGGACATTCATAATATGTCATTTCTGCATAGACTCAATATAATTATTTACAAATTGTATGATTTATAACTATTATATAAATTACTATTGCATTTCATTTAATAAAGACTACACAAATTAAATGTACATCAAAAACTGTGGAATAATTATTTGAACACTTCACAATTCCCATAGCGATCCGCACAGTTTTAAATTAAATACAAAAAAGAAAAAACAATCTATACAGGAACGGTATATAACTTAATAAGATATGTATGTACAAAATACACAAATTGTTCTCGTTTTAACAATACCTACTTACTCGTATATATATAAATCATCTAAACGGACATATTAAACGACCCTAAATTACATTATAATACTGTACAATTTCGCTAGTTACTTTCATGTAAAACGCTCTTAAATTAATACTTATTGGGAACTGAAGTATACCAAACTCTCAGCGGGATATTCGCAAAAGATCTTGGTCAATACCAGTCAATACAATCAAAACGAATGTCTATATCACGGGCGACTCAAATTAAAGGATGTGCGTTCGTGTAGTTACAAACATCAATTCAGTTAACAGTCTTATAAAATTAAGGTGATGTGACAAAGGTCGTATCGTGATTAAGTTACGTACTATAATTCAGTAATTAATCAACTATAAATGGAATCACAGTGTCTATTTTGTGATGTCTTCTTCCTCTCAATATAGGTAACCGGCAAACGGCCGGGACGGTCTCGTGACGTACGTTATTTATGTCGACTTATTAGGCTCTTGTCTATGGTTGACTTATCACGTGTACTCACTCCTCCAGCCAGTCTGAAAAGAAGAACATAGATTAAAATAAAATTCAAATGGTTACAGCCATTGTGGTAGTACCGCCGCACAGGAATGTTGTAAAAATAGTATGGTGTAAGGTTGAACCTATACATGCACAGTACCACCCCTCCCCCGTATCGTACCTTAAATTGGAGGAAGAGTTTTCCTATAGCGCCAAATACGCATGTTGATAAAAAGTATATCAAATTCGAGACTAGAAAACTAATATTTTTATTTTAACACATTAACAAGTTCCTTGTACTTTCGTTCCTCGTTTTTCATAATCGATAAACTGCTTTCAGAATAATTCTTTATAACTCTGACCTTGCACGTAATATACATATGTATGTATGTATGTATATATATGTACGCATATAAGCGGTCTCTCGTCTTAACTTAGCTATGTATCGCTTATGCGATATGATGCGAGATAGATTAGGAAGCAGTGTCGAAGACACAGGTACAATAAGCTAAACCCAAAACGTACAATTAAGATTTCTGCAGAAATGTGGGCTCTAATGTAGCAGGCAAGCCAGTGACCGCTAGGTCGTTGACGCAATAACACAAACCGAAAGCTAAAACAATTTATAATTAAACAACAGTGAATAAGCCTCTGTTACGCTAACAAACCAGTGCGCTTTACCATCTTCGACCATCACCTCTTACCATTAGATGGCATAGTCCAACACTGGATTATACTATCTATTATACTGGATGATCTTTTTTACCGTCTGGAAAAAATAGTGTAACATGTGAACGAAGTAGAAGCCTATGGCACTGATATTTTACAAAAAATAATTTTAAAAAATGTACTAAACGTTTGAAAAAAATAATTTTGAACAATTACTTTGCCCTTTGCCCTTGAGCCTGTGACCCTGCGAAGTGACAAGGTCAATGATGCCTACTAAATTTATTGTTTGAATGCCGTTCGTAAAGTAGGGCGGATATGATTTAAATTTTGATAGATTTTAATTTATTTATTCATTTAATTTAAAATTATGTTTTTATTTTATTTTTAAATATCAATGCCATAGGTTTCTGCTGCGTTCACACGTTACACCTTCTTTTTTCAGACGGTAAAAAATGTCATTCCGTATAAGAATGTATTTTTGTTGGTTCGCATTTTATGCGCTGCCATACTGTTCATCAGATTGCATCATAACTTTGTCAACATTTTGTTGCACTTTCGGTAAGGTTATAGACATAGTTGGACCCAGCAGGTGTCGCTGTTGTAGAATCCAGATGCATCCCGTGCGAAGCCGGGGCAGATCGCTAGGTGTATATAAAACTTTTCTTTAGTTATCCAAACTACAAACTACTAGGAAACATTTATTAGTGAAATTTGACGTTTCGATAGCGCAGATGGTAAACGTCTGGAAAGTCTAAAGGATTGTGATTGCTATTGGACACGAAGCCCGCGCGGAAAAAGTATTGCATGGCACACAAATAATTGTTTTGGGTCAAGATGTATATTCATATCCAGTATAAGTACCTATGTAAAACGCCTAGCAATGCAGGAGTAAATCTAATATGAGAGTAAGGTTTTTATAAAAATGTTTTACTAAAAAATGTTATCACTTACCATGGAATTAAGTTGCGCGAGGTGATGGTGGTGGTATGGGTTATGCGAGGCGGGCGGTGGCGCAAAGCCCTGGTGCGGTGCGCCATACCAGTGCGACATGTGCGCCGCGGCTGGATGCACCAAACCCACTTGGTGTTGCCCTGCACAACAACATAAAATAATTATAAAATGTGTAATCTATTCGACCGAGCAGTGGTGGTGTTAGGATATCCACTATCTATATCATCCCGTGGGTGTCGTAAGAGGCCATAAAGGAAATAAACTAGGAGATGAGTAGAAAAGTCTTTTTATTAACAAATAAAAATAAAAAATTGCGGTTGTCAACATGCCTCCCAAACGTGGCAACTATGGCAAATTTTCACCCTATGAGGCAATCAATGAGTGAGGCCTATGTTCAGCCTTGGACTTTTAAGAGGCTGCCACGGCGACGAAGTACGAGTACGAGTCGATTACCGTGGTATTGTAAATCCATTAGTACTGCGCCCGACCTCTCTCTAGTCGTGTCTAAATACAGACCCATCAGCTTTTGGGAGTGAGGGAATAAAGAGTGCTCCTGTGCTTGCACACACACTCCTGCACTATAATCAGATAGCTAGTTACCGTTGAGTCTGACCGCTGTGACCGAAATTCGATTGGACGACATTATTTATTAATGTAAAAGACAACGAGAAGTGTGCTAAGGGTGCCAGGCATTCTTCCTGTTAGAGAAACCTTTAACTGCCTCGTTGGTCTAGTGGTTGTAGTAGTGCGACTGCTAATGATGAGGTCCTGAGTTTGATTCCAGGGTCGAGCCAAAAAATCAATTACTGAGTTTTTCTGTCAAGAATTTCTCAGTAGCTGCCCGGAGTCAGGAAGTTGGCGGTGTCTCACCCCCTTGCCTCGGAAAGCACGTAAAGCCGTTGGTCTTGTGCCTGATCTTTCTCCGGTCGTGTCGGTTTACCGTCCCATCGGGTTATGATAGTGAGGGAATAGACAGTACACCTGTGCTTGCGTATACACTTGGATACTATAATCCTGTCCTGCGCCGATGGCTAGCCTCCGATGAGACAGGCCGCCATGGCCGAAATTCGGTCTGGAGGACATTGTTATTATATACTTCTGGAGATTTATGATCTGATGACAAAAATAAAAGATATTTTTAACTTACCAAAGTCCATTGCTGAGGGAAAGGCTGAACCACCAAACCCTTTGGTAGCATCCCCTAGTGGCTTTATCATGTCTCCCATGACGCCGCCAAGAGCTAGTGCACAAGCACCACCGCCACCCATACCCATTCCTCCCTTCTTCTTTTTACTTTTACTGCTTAGCTTCCGATTTCTCGTTTGGATCCCCTCCTTTTTCATTGTCAATGGCCGGTTAACCTGCGACAAGAAATTTTATAATTAATAACAGTATATTCCAAATACTTAAAGAGGATAGAGTAAGTCAGCTCAAATTCTAATTTCGTCCCCACTTGCCCGCGCGTCGTATGCTATATACCGACATGTTTGTAATCACTAATACTGTAAGTAGAAAGGTCGTTAGACACTTATTTCATTAGGTTTATCATATTTATGCCTGTTTCTTAACTCCAAGCCAGCCGCTTCTTATTTTTATCACGGTTATTTCCCATTTTAATTTTACGTCGTACTGTTGCGTAATGTATATTCTGATCGTAAGCGACACAACCTTCTTGTTCAAAGGCCGAGGCGAAGTGACCGTGCTGCAGGAATCACGCTTCAAAAGGCCAATAGTTTAGGTAATTTCTTTTTTACAGTGAAAATAATGGTTTTTTAAAAAAAAGTAAATAACATAAGCACTGCTTTATAGTTAGTTCGTTAGTATGCAATGTTTCATGATCTTATTTAAAGTATTTTATGAATAACAGCGGTTTATTGTTTATTTTGGAGGTAACTTTGGATTTTTTTTTCTATCGAGAAAATTTTACGAAATCGTGTTTTCGTCTAACATAATCCTTAACATTAATCCTCAACTTTACCATATATTTATTTCAAAATTAATACTGCAATATTTTCGGCATAACGAAGGATCTTGCTAAGCCATTTGAGATTGTACTTCCCCTTAAGAGTGATAATTACTAACGTTATAAGCAGTTGAATATTAATACCATTATTACGATTTCTGTGATGGTTCCCGAGAAGAGTGTAAAAAAGTAACAGCCTACGAGTACATGCTAACTGGGTCCAGATCTCCTCCCATTATTGATAGGGTTTTGGAGCTGAAGATACTCCGACGCGCGACCCAAATGCATGTTGGCGGACAGCACACAGTTTTCAGACAAGCAGGTTACAATACCACCAATGCTCTTAATGCACTTTTGTAATTAGAAAATTGGATAACGGTCTTATTTATTCGTTAACTATCGCCACAGTATAATAAATAACTATCGCTTACATGAGTATTAATAATCTATATACCTGTCTCTTTCTATTGTCATTTTTTTTCTATGTCAAAAATCAACTGCGATCCGTTACTCTCGCTAAAATTCGAAAATGTCTCGACTGATTTTGATAATTTTTTTTGTGTTTAAATGAGTCCCTGAATTGTTTAGATCCACAATTAGAACCGGTATTTGGCGCTGTTGTCAAGATCGAGAAATTAAACGTGGGAAACCTGGGCAGATCGCTAGTTTAGTGATAAAAGAGAGAACAACTTTAAACACCTCTTTTTTACAGGAGAGGGGGCAAACGAGAAGCACATTAAGAAATGAACAATTGGAATACCAGGGGAAGTGCAGGTGCGTTGCCGGCCCTTTAGAAGGGAGTAAGCTCTTTTATTGAAGGTCCCTAGGTCGTATCGGTCCGAAAAAATTGCCGGTGGTAAACTATTCCACAGAGAGGTTGTACGCGGAATAAAACTCTTAGTGAAACGTACAGTGGTGGACCGCCAAGCATCCAAATTGTGTGGACGGTATCGGGAGTTTTGCCGCGATGTGCGTTCATGAAATTTGGGGGCTGGGATTAACTTGAACAATCAGAGCATTCACCGTGGCGAAAGAAAATGCATTCTTTATGTCTATATTTAGACGTCGAAAGCTTAAATTGTAAATTGTTTTACTCAAAAGAAAAATCTTAAAGCAGTTTAGCGTGGTTTCAGTTACGTTTAATAATAATTTTGCACCTACCAAAAATTTAAATACTATGTTAATTGAGAGACAATTACACTAGTGAGGTTAACAATCGTAACAGTGGCTTGACTCACAACTTTTGCGAGTGGACGTGCTCCTTCTTTATTGCTATGACATTACACTAAGCGGTATGAAAAAAAAACGTTTGTGTTACCAATTTGGAATGCTAACTAAGGAGTATAAAGGCAAGCCGAGACCATAAACTGGTATCACAATAGTCGTGTGCGAATATTCAGCTGTTTGGTGACCGATGCCGACATGCGTGAAGCGTACATCACTCGCATCCTAATTAGAACGATGCACTTCGCTAGTGCAGTCGTTCTCTTTTGGTGGGAATTGCGGCGACCGATTTGAATTTCGACGTGCGCGATGTGCACCATTTTATGTTCCAAGTTTTATGGTTTCAGTTCATAATCTACGCTAAATACGCCGTGACTTCAATGCTAAAGCTCTTTATTTTATCAGACTTTCAAACGTTCGGTTGACTCGAACGTATAATCTGTGAACTCTGCATATTTGTTTAATAGAAATTTGAGTTTCATGACATTGGCTGCCGGCCTGCCAACTATGGCAACTATAGCATATATATTAATATTGGGGAAATGTATATTGATATTGGGGAGGCATATGTTCTTCAGTGTATTTTTGATAGGTTGGAATGAATGGATGAATGGAAGAAAACGTAGATTTATCTTTTTAAATATTTTTGAGGTTCCATATACATACATATACATACTCAGTCGCTTACGCAGTAAGCTTAGCTTAGCTTTCGAAATATGAAGTGTATTTCTTTCTAATTCTTTTACTGTCTTAAATTTCTCTAATCTTTGTGGTTACAGATTATAATTAGGCCATATACTAGTAAAAACATACATGTCACATATTATTGTTGATATTTTTTGGAATCAAATAGGATAATCTGTTTTGAAACGGGCCAAGAGATAATCATTAGTACTCATTTATAGCTTATTCATAGCCATGAGCCGTAGTAGCTCAGATGGTTAGCGCTCGCTGTAAATTTCACAGTACGCGAGCAAACCGGGTTCGAACCCCGCCGGCACCAATGGAATTGTTAATTGCAATTTTAAGTGCTGATTTACCACGTGCTCGGCGATGAAGGAAAACATCATGAGGAAACCTGCATGTCAGAGAAATAAGAAAAAAATATATTCGTAAGACATGTGAAGTTCGCCAACACGCATGGGGGCAGCGCGGCGGACAATTTTTTGCACTAAAACCTCTCAGAAATGAGCGGAGGCCTGTGACCAGCAGTGGGACGTATATAGGCTGTAACTTTACTTTTACCTATTCATAAAAAACCTATTATTGCAAGTATTTCCTTCTTTCTTCTCCACTGCCACTCGAGAATCTTTTATCTTTTGTCAAATGAATGGTAGAATTCAATGGAAGAAACAAAAAAGTATTGAAATGAGAGATTTTCACACATGAATTGCAAACCCTAAGCTAAAGCTCCGAATTCTGATTTCGTCAGTTTAATGCAACTCGCGGGTGAACTGTTTCGGTCACTTTCTGCGTTGCATCGTAAGTTTCCGAGAAGCGTGCGTCACGACGGACGGACGGACCGACGGACAATGAGTTATTCATCGCCTTCCAGGGAACTTGGCGTCGGCATGTGGCCCTAAACGCACGATTGCATTGCGCCTGCGCCGACCAGCCCGTGCGTATGACCTGCTCTTATTAGACTTGGCCAATATGAGCCAACGAAAGTCATTTTTCATAGACAATCAGATTACGCTTATGAAGAAATATTGTACAAATTAAGAACTTTTTCAATTAGTTCAGTGGACACCGTTTCTAACATTTGGAAATCTCTTTTTAACCCCCGACGAAAAAGAGGGTTATCATATGTTAGTGATGTGTATCTGTGTTTATGTGTCTGTGTGTCTGTTTCAGTTTTCAGTTTCATGACTCCTGAACGGAATTAATTGAGAAGAATCTGTTCAGCCGTTTGAAGATCATCAGCTGTTTTCGTTTTGGGGGTTTTTAATTTTTAAATTAAGTTATTACATCACTTCTTCGTTTAGTTCAAATATACCTAATAGGAAATTTTATTCTTACTTGAAATTTTACGTGAAACTCAGCAAAACGTAACTACCCAAAACGTCATTAACCAATTAAGCTTAACGGTCCGGTCTCTACTGATGCTGAATTATCCGAAGTGCGAGAGTACCAAGTGCGTGCCAATTCGCGCTGCCCCTAATGCGTTCCCGCGAATCGCCCACACATCGAGCGCATACCGCGCCGTCGCTCCTCCCAATTGAACCAATATAAAATGCATTAACATCAGCTCTCTCGACGACTGATTTAACTGCAACGGAATTAGGTCAATGCAAAGCCTTCACGTTCCTGTGATTAACACCGTTACTTTGTACCTTTTATAGGCGAAGTGAAATATTGTCGTCATTGCATTGACTAACAACTGCGAAAAATATTTTAGAGGTATATTCATTAATCAGTTCAATTTATTGAAACGAACAGAAGTTTGTAAGTATTGCTGTAGCTCATCATCATCATCATCATTACAGCCCTTCACAAGTCCACTGCTGAACATAGGCCTCCCCCAAAGTACGCCACAAAGCACGGTCCTGAGCCACCTGCATCCATCGACTTCCTGCATGTCTTACCAGGTCGTCACTCCATCTAGTGCGGGGTCGCCCTACACTTTGCCTACCGGTACGAGGCTGCCACTCGAGAACCTTTTTCCCCCAACGGTTGCCGGCCCATTGCCACTTCAGCTTACTAATCCGTTGGGCTATGTCGGTCACTCCGGTTCTACTGCGGATATCCTCATTTCTAAGTTTATCACTCAGAGAAACTCCGAACGTAGCCCTCTCCATAGCTCGCTGACCGACTTTGAGCGTCCTCATACGGCCAGCAGTGAAGGACCACGTCTCGGTTCCGCAGGTCAAAGGTTGCTGTAGCTATTCCGTCTTAATGTAGAGAAATGTCCCCTGTCCAAGAGCCTTAAGTTTTAGAAAATACTGTTGCATATATAGAATAAAAATATTTTCACACGTCTGTCTGTGCTTTTTGCAAATTGTTTTTAATTTTATTTATTGTCTTCAACGTCTAGTATAAAGTTGGGCCTTTTCGACCGAAAATTACAAATCGTTGTGGTTGTGTAACTTAAAAACTATTACACATATTTGAACGGAAATCTGACTGACTACAGACACTGATATTATTTTCTAGATTAGGCTTATATAAATTTTA